ATGTATATATATGTATATATATGTATATATATGTATATATATGTATATATATGTATATATGTATATATATGTATATATATGTATATATATGTATATATATGTATATATATGTATGTATATGTATGTATATGTATGTATATGTATGTATGTATATGTATGTATGTATATGTGTGTGTGTGTGTGTGTGTGTGTGTGTGTGTGTGTGTGTGTATGTATGTATGTATGTATAGAGAGAGAGAGATATATATATATATATATATATATATATATATGAAGAGGTTAGTGAGTGGGATTCCGTTTTTTTTTACAGTGACCCAATAATCCAGTTTGGTAAACGTTTTCTTAACAATTTTTAACAATTTTTGGCAAACATTTTGTCGGGAACGATACCAGTTAGAAATACCCATCGGGAGTATGGGATGGGTCGAAAATGAGAAACGGGATACGGAGTAAGACGTAAGTTATTGTCAGTGGACCCTCTAAAGCAGCAAACAAACTCAATCACATGCGATAAATTAAAATAGAAGTTCATTACCTAGTCTGATTATCGTTGGACTCTCGCATTTCGATGTCTTCGCAATGCCAATGTACTCAATCTTTTGGAATTACCCTGAACAAAAATCCACGAGCGACTGTCAACGAGGAATCATCGACCACGTAACCTGTACATCTCACAGCAAAGTTTGTCATGGGGACAAACAATTGACTTTTTAAGACACCGATCTCTCCATCCAGCTCTAATAATTTCTTCCCTGCAGCTTTAGTTTCTTGGCTACTGCTTTCACTAATGTTTGGCTGAGAAGAACTACTGAGATCGCTAATTATATCAGCAATCTCTCCAACCTCCTTTTCGTTGAATGACATGACAACTTTTTTAAAAATTTGCAACTGGTATAATTATTCCGCACACACTAGGAGAGGACTAGTTTTGTATGCTTGATCTCACTATGTGGCATGTTTTTATATGATCAGCTGAATCAGTTAATCACGTGTTTGTTTAAGCGGAATGCGAGAATATCAAATTTTTGTTTGATAAAATGGCCCACCCCACTTTATCGTAATGCTACCGTTGCAGACAGCTTTTTCCGCCCAGTTTATGAAACGGAAATTTGGTTAAAAGCCGCAATTAGTCGTTTTTAAGTGCTCTAATTTGAACATCAACACATTAAGTCATTCTTCACAGTTTTATGGCGGACTTGTCACTCAACTTTTGAAAATGCGCACGAAACCTCATGACAATGCATGGACGTCAATGGTTTTGGATTCGCTAAAATTTCATGTTTTCCTGTATATAATCACTAGTTAGATACAGATCGGCTGTTCATGTTTTATCTAGTCCTTAAAAAACGACCCATCTTATGAGTTCATTGGCGAAGTAATTTTAAAAATAAACATTGGCTACGCCGAGAAAATCAAAGCTGAAGTTTATGTAATCAGAACAAATCTTTATCCGATTTATAAACATTTTCATTGATACAGAGAATATTCGTAATCAAAACCTTATGTCAAAACGTTTTACGAAACAAGTACCTTGCAGAAGGCTCGTGTTGCTTTTGGATTGATTAACTTTGGATTGATTAACTAACGGTGGAAGAATGTGATTTCGACCGACAATTTTTATTTGTGCGGCCATTTCTCATCGTTCCGGTTTAAGAATGGTATCATAGAATAGCTAAATAACAGCTCTTTCGTCCTATGTAAAAATTGAACTGTTTAGTTAAGTTTGTGATGCACAACAGCCTGTTGCCGTGAATTTCCATAGCGTTTTTTTAGACACCCTGTATAATAGATCAGCACTACGGCCAAATCACAAAAGAAAACAGCCATCAACAACCTAATTAGAACAAAATATTTGCATTTATTAGAGGAGTATTAAAAATTTAACTCTCTTGTTTTCAAGGCATGAAATTGCACCAAAGTTCACTGTCACAATCGCGGGGTGTTTACAATGCACTAGATTGCAAAAAGTCTTGCCGGACCTTCCGGATTTATTTACCGATATTAATCTAAGGAATTCTTGGGCTTGGCAATGAGAGCACTTGATACGTCGAGTCACATCACATGTGTTTTCGTTTGGTACAAAATGTCATTTAAAATAAAATCGAATCTTTAGGCAAAATACACAATTTTTTGACAGACTCCGTACTCCGCACTCCGTCTTTTCCACCATGTCGTCCATGCCGTTTTTCTGTTATAAATGAGATGTAAAGTTTTGATCCAGTTCTTTAATTAGGTTCTTATATTTGGCTTTCTTATAGTTAACATTAATTGCGAGTGATGTTTGATTCAAAGCATGCAGGCATGACAGTCCAGTACTCGTTTTATATTCTAACTACCTACGGCTACACTATTGAGTATTGTTTATAATTTTTTTATGTAGAATACAATTCAAAATCATCCCAAAGGCAATAAGTAAATTTACTTAATTAATGCGACACGTATAATGCACAACATAAGCTCCACCTTTGAATTTACTATATGAGTAAATTCTTAAACACGTCCGAAATTATCATTATGATAAATTCGCGGCAGATATGTCCTTTATAACATCTAAAAAAAGAGCTCTATACATCTCAAAATGTTGTGATCAGCTGCCAAATAAATCCATTAAACAAGGTTTACAATTACAAGACAGTGTTTTCGGAAATGAGGCCTATTATCAAGCCTTTATTTTCAACTGTATTTTACAGCTTGAAATCTCTCCCCTATATACAAATGCGCGACTGCTAACTCTCATCGCCTCACATTTCTTTCTTTTTGGGCAGTTGATTCTATATTTCCAGAATCTTCAGGGTAGCCCATAGGTAGACAAATTTTTCCAATGGTCCAAGCCGAATTGGTTGTATACATTTTTTAATTTTGAGTTTCAATTCGAAATATTTTTTCTCGAAACACAATTCACCCGTGTGCCAAAAAGATAAATTAGTTTTTGAGGGACTAATTACATTGAGAGTTTATATCCCGGCTGAATTTTAACCTTGTACATGTTAACCCATGTTGAAATTGTTTCATTATCACATGGCAATTAAGTATTCTAGTTGCATGACAGATGTGAATAAAAAAATGTTAATAACGGATGTTTGACATTTAATCCCTTGCCGAGTTTTAAGGAACAATTTATTTAGTTAAAACATTTGTATAAGATTATAGTGAATTTATTTCAAAAACTCATTAATAATTCATGAGAAAACACAAAGCAATTATAAGCGTGTCGTACCTTTATATATGTGATAGAGGTTTCCCTTAATGTACATATATAAACTTTAAATGTGATTAATTAACGTGTTTTTTGAAAATTATTTCGCAAATGAACTAGTAAGATCGATCGTTTTTTAAGCAATTTAAAACACTCGCAGTGCGTGTTTTATCAGACCTAATTAAAGATAAGATACTGGCTTCCCCCGTATCTTCATATCTGATAAATCACTGCTGCTCACGTTTTAGATAGCACTTAAAAATCAAACCCAAAGGCTAAATGGAAACGATAAGAAAAGAAAAGAAAAGAAAACAACCGCCATGCAAGCTTTTACCAACATCCGGCAAAATCTGTAAAGTGGCGACGCCACCATAATCCCGTTTTGCTACGCCGACATTCTTCACTTATCAGGTAAAGTCAAGCCAAACTTCATCTCAGCTCACTTTGGTGCCGACGGCCTTTGAGACCACGGTACATAAAAGGAAAACCGCGCCCACCCTAATAATAAGGTAAACTAAACGTCATGACATAAGGAAGCAAGCACTTCAGGTCACTTGAAAAAATCAACACTGTAATTATACTTAATTTTTTATGTGATAAAAAAGAGATTGACAGTTATTTTGTTAGGAATACAAAGCCATAAAAGTTATTTGTTTTCTTAAATGATTTCAGCTTGCGCGATTATACGTCGAAAGAAAAATATTGCACAAAAGTACACAGTTTTGTCTATTATTGGAAATTTGGTAAACGTTTATAGTAAGCGCTCGAATGAGCAAAACGTGAAGCGAAACAACATTGTCATTGGAGAAGAATGCATGCCAGCAGAAAATACGTAAAAGAGCCATATCAAAAATATAGTTTAAATTAAAATATTAATATATATATATATATGCCATATCAAAAATATAGTTTAAATTAAAATATTAATATATATATATATATATATATATATATATATATATATATATATATATATATATATATATATATATATATATATATATATATATATACAGTATATATATATATATATATATATATATATATATATATATATAGTTTTTCGTTTTACCTCAAAAAACCACAACAGTCTGTTTCAGACTGTTGTGGTTTTTTGAGGTAGAACGAAAAACTATATTACGCTCTACCTATATGGTCTTGAGCACTGTTTGTGTTTCGTAAACCAAAATCTTAAGCTATATATATATAT